TCCTCTTCAGAAGTATAATTAATTGAAGAAGTAAGAAGTATAACAAATTGAAGTCAAAGCTGTAAGCTGGTCGTTCTGGCAGCAGCACCGACGGTGGGCCAGAAGACAACTTTTGAGCTCCTTGCAACATCCACTCGTGGTCACGCACGCAGCACGCGTCAAGTGCCGATTTTTTACCAGTACCTTGTGGCTCTCATTATCACTTCGGTAGCTTTTCCAGTTTCATTCCAAAACAAACAAGCAGAAACCACAAATCAATCGATTGATTTATTGAAGTCTAGGAAGATTTCGCACTACATCACACGAACAATTACGACCTGTACTGTACTCGAGTGTTAGAAAAGATCAGAGCTGTACTCATATAGGGCAGCTCCATTGCGATATTACATGTTAGGTCGTAAGAAGAGAATGCTGAGATGAAAAAAAAAGAATTTCACTAAAAATCGATAACTAACAAATCGACACACAATTAAGATACTAACGCCACACACACACACTAAAAAGACGTTTCGTTGCTGCAAAGAAAACAACGAGTGTTAATGACGAGACTGAAAAACTGACAGCCTAGGTCAAGCCGAACTGACACGGCGGGTGGTTTGCGTCACCCAAGTGGGAGGGTGGAGCTTCCCACACGTTCCTAAGAAAACTCTTCACATATATAGCTGCGCTGTCATCTTGCTAGGGATGATATTGAAGAAATACGTCCTCGAGGAGAAATGTATCGATAACATCCTCATTTATGGGTGTAGAAACTCCGCCCACTGGTGGGCGTTTCCTCAGCCCTTAAGCTCGTCATATATAATTTTCCCGGAGAACTGATAAATTTCTCAAATATCAGCCAATTTCACACATGCACAACCACCACAGCACATAACTGAACGTCGCAAGCACGATAATGATAAATGAGGACAGAAGAATAAGTCAAGAGAAGATACACATCAATCAATCAATGTTAAAAAATCAATAGAGATTACGGTAGCACAAAAATGTAATTTCAGTTCGCTAACTAGAGTTTCTTGTATAAAGCTGCGTATGTCTGTGAAATTTTAAGCGCTCAACTGCCTAAGCTTCTCTAAAAGTTAAGGGGCGGAGCGAAAGACTGGCGGTGTAAAAATTTGCATGCTTAGTGCTTAGCCTCGCCATCGTCCTTTGACGTTGAAGTGCCATCTGCGGTGGCCGCTGCATCGCCTGCTTTCGGTAAAAGTGTCTCCATTTCTTTGGCGTCACTGAAAAGAGCAGAGTTGATGAAAACCGACCAAGAAGGGCGGAGTTTTTGAAGGATCTTAAGAAGCTTACGCCTTGGCATCGGCAGGTACTTCGGCTTTCCTGCCGGCGGTATCAAGACTGCAGTTCTTTGTCTCTTGTAGCCAAATGAACGCCACAAGCACATTTGCAGCACCACAAGCCATCGAAATCATATGGACACCAGGTTCGTAGACAGTCTTCAAGCCACTCTGAAAGCGAGTAAATGTGTTTAACCCATAACGGACGGCCAGTGTATTTGCGCACGCCGCCACCCAGGGTAGGGTTTATGTAGGCTTATGTGAACAGCAGGGTTAAGACGGGGCTAAAGTAGGTGTCCGTGTCTCATCATCCAAAAGAAGAGATTTCCGTTGACGACAAGTTCGTAACCCGCCTTTCCGCTCTAAAACTAGGGTGCAAAGAATGAATGGAAGCTGTAGGTGACATTATCGAAAAATGCGAAACAACAACCCCGAGCAAGGATGTGGCTATATTTAGGGGAAGGGGTCTCGGGACGTGCGAACCATGGGTAAGCCACCCATCAAATAGTAAACTTATGTAAATTAAGACAAAATGTATGTAAAATTTATTGTAGGTTTGTCAAAAATCCAGCCGTCCAGGTCCTGGGAAGATATGTTATTCCACATTGCTGAGAGTATATATGGGTATATTAAGATTGCTAGAAACATTCCAAAAACAAAAGAAATAGTCGTGCGCCACCTTGTGGCGCACGCCGTCCGTTATGGGTTAATACATGGAATCGGGATAAAACGCTCTGAGTATGAGTAGAGGGTTTGGCGAATAGAGCGTTTCCTCCTGAGAACGCTAATCCTGGAATCCATGGTCATGTTGAATTCGGAATTAAAAAGTCCTTCCAAAGGCACATCCACTATTATTTGGTATGCCGATTCTGATCGGATATGAAATGAGGAGAGCAGAGTGGAACGTCGCCAAGAAAAGAGGAAAAAAGACCGTTGAAAACCCCGAAAACACCAGCCACCTTTTTCTGCTCGAGAGGGCTTATAGAGAGGTTTCATTCATTGATGATACGAAAATACTCTTGAAATGAAACGAAAAGGTGTGCTAGAGCAGACAACTGAATAAAATATAACTCTGGCATAAATGAATCGAAATGTTGAAAAATGCGTTTTGGGCGCAAGATGCGAGGGCATCTTAAGGTTCAGGCCTTGAAATCGGCAGGAAATTTGGTGGAAATCAAAATCGTCCACTACACCAATGTTTTTGATTATGATGCTCACAATATTCCACGAAATGTCGCATTCCAGTGTAGGTAGGAGATTCTGGTTTACGAGTTAGCACCGTCGCGCGCGTGACAATTTGTGCTACGAACGGTTAGCGGCGGATGAGATTCGTCACGGCGTGCTCTGATCCGCAGCATCGAGAATACTATTAGAAGAGAATGTGATGTAGCCGACTCTGCGCTCTAGTCCACGCTTTTTCTTTTAAAAACACAATAGAATCAACTACAGTTGACATGTAGATGAATTCACTGACCAGCATTGAAGCCATGATGTTGGCCACACGTCCAATGAAGCAGGCGTAACGTAGGCCTACGAGCACTCGCCGCTACAATCCAGGTACTTGTTGCGCGGACATCTGTTGGCATGAGTTCCGAAGCACATAGGTAGCATGGCTCCCAGACAATTGAAGTGAACACGAATGCTGCCAAATAGACGGCGGTGTAGTACCATTCGCCCTAAAATCACCAACATGATCTACTTAAACACAGAAGAAAAACGCAAAAATCTCCGAAAAAATAAGGACAATTTGCAGCGATCTCGAAACAGAGCTTTCTGTGGGCAAAAGTCCATATATTTACTTTCATTAATTATTTACATTATACTCTTATTTACTAATTCATTGCACGCAAAATGTGCCCAACCAACAGTATTTTGACAAAGCAATAACTTTAAGAAAAATAGCAGAAGATATGAAGTGGGGGGGGACTCGAACACACTGAAAATCTGCGAGAAATATCCTTGTGCCGAAACACCTCTTGAAGGATGATTCCACGATCAAGACGGTTACCTAGGGGAAAAAACCCAGCCCCCCCCCCCCTCCGCCCCACAGTCACACACTCAACTTGGACGCGAAGGATAATGGCCCGCCTGCCTAAGCAGATCTACCGCTAACAGCTATTCTTTATAAAATGCATATTTATATATTCTTCTATACTTGGTTGAACAAAAAAATCTATTTTTCTTCCCATGCAAGAAACAAGAAACAGAAAAAAGGCAAGTAAAGGTAAAGATATTCTGCTACTACTTCATCAGCACGACTTCAAAGACAGGCACCACACACCGCAAGTTGTTTGATGAAAATTTTCCCATTTCTTGTCCCACTCCAGCGCGGCCCACACCCATTTAAAAAAGCTTCCAGGGAGATTGAAAAAGGTAGAATGCAACTTTTAAGAGGAATGCAATTTTTAGGAGGAAGAACTCACCTTCGATCCAGTATACAAGAAAGCGATGACACAAGCGAAGAATCCGACAGCCAGTCCCTGGGAGGTGAGAAGCACGACGCGACGACCCATCCATGGCAAGAAACCATCAGCGAATCCAATAATCTAAATCGACAACACCCTTATGACCAGGGTTACTGTAGGCATACGGTACACCGTAAACACTTACAATTCTCACGACTGAGAGCAGAATTCCCGACAAGAACTGTCCAATCCAGAAGTTTTTCGTCATGTCACCACCGCAGAGATCAGTAAGGTAAGCAGTCATTCCAGTCACAAACCACCTGAACACTGACGATTGGAACTGATTTTGAGATATTTGGAAGTATTGAAATGAGCAAAAGAATCTTTTCGAACTGGACAGTTTTGGAAAAATTAAATACTAACATCATCCAGAGAACCAGCAGATTTCTTCGCAGTATCGGCTCCTTGAACACATCGATGATTCCGATTGCTTTTTCGGGCTCTTTTGGCGTTTCACCTTTCTCTTCTGGAGGGGCCGGATCTGGAAATCTCACAGATGACTCTAATATCAGATCGAAAATGAAGGGGCTGGGAAGGTGCGGTTGTATAATAAGAGAAAGCGCCGCAATCATCTGTGCGGTCCATTGATCAGGTTTCGCACAAGTTACTTACACCTCTTATCCCTCAGCGATGGCCCAGATGGACTTATATTTAAATTGGTCCAGAGAGACGAAGGCTCTTATTCAAACATCGACAGAAATAGCCGTTTCGAATATCGAGCAATTCGAATGATTCCATATCTCTGATATGAACCAAATGCATGGCGCATCAAAAGCGGGCATCAGGCCTGTTGGTGAGGCAGTGGTGCAAATTTTGCCTCCGCGCCCTGAATGATTTCGAGTAGGGTAAGCGATCCGACTGGCCCACTCCCCTAGATGAGCGCGCCCATTTTGTAGATATGAGGAAAGGAATGTTTTTCTGGAAAAAAAATGGCAGAGGAATTCTTTCAAAAGAACTGGGGATTCTCAAGAAATTCAAATAAAAACCGAGTTTGGCGAAAAATGTTGTCAAAATTTGACGCTTAATAGTAGTTGTACCCTCTTTCCTCCGTTCCTATAGAATTTTGGGATCAGGGTGGAAGGGTGTCAGGTTGGGCAAGTCTCAACGATCATTCACACCAGCCAACAGGAACAGGGCTAGGGTCGTTTCTCTGAATTCGGGTGAACACTTGATTATTCTTCTGATCGGCCTAAGTCATATCGATACGATGTTGTTGCAAGATTAGAGCCCAGAGGGGAGGGGAGGTTCACGGCTTTCCAGTTTCTGAGGTCAGCGTCACTCTGGACGCAAGTACCCTCTACGGCGACTATTCGGGCACTGCATCTAGGGCTTCTTAATAATCGCTCGATGGCGCGATTTGAAGCCCGACCATGGCTGTATGGCACCGTATCGTGGCACCCATAAGGTTTTTCCCCAACATTTTTTGGGTTGAATTCTGGCAATTATGTGAACAGCTGTGGCAGAGCCAATATGCAGAGTTTTGGGCTGACATACGTAACTCCCAGCTGCACGATTAGCGCCAGAATGGC